GTGTTACATGTTGTTGCTCCACCCACTATCTGTGTCACCATGTTGTTGCTCCACCCACTATCAGTGTTACATGTTGTTGCTTATACTCCACCCACTATCAGTGTTACATGTTGTTACTCCACCCACTATCAGTGTTACATGTTGTTACTCCACCCACTATCAGTGTTACATGTTGTTGCTCCACCCACTATCAGTGTTACATGTTGTTGCTCCACCCACTATCAGTGTTACATGTTGTTGCTCCACCCACTATCAGTGTTACATGTTGTTGCTCCACCCACTATCAGTGTCACCATGTTGTTGCTCCACCCACTATCAGTGTTACATGTTGTTGCTCCACCCACTATCAGTGTTACATGTTGTTGCTCCACCCACTATCAGTGTTACATGTTGTTGCTCCACCCACTATCAGTGTTACATGTTGTTGCTCCACCCACTATCAGTGTCACCATGTTGTTGCTCCACCCACTATCAGTGTTACATGTTGTTGCTCCACCCACTATCAGTGTTACATGTTGTTGCTCCACCCACTATCAGTGTTACATGTTGTTGCTCCACCCACTATCAGTGTTACATGTTGTTGCTCCACCCACTATCAGTGTTACATGTTGTTGCTCCACCCACTATCAGTGTCGCAGTGGAAAGTTCTGAGAGGAACATCCTATTTCATAAGACTCACTTGATTCGGTCAATGACCTTCGATAATCAGATAGAAAACTTTTGCACGGATAACTTTCTACTATTCATTAAAATTCAGAACAACTTGCTACGCTCCCGCGGCTCGGAACGAAATTACCAATCCGGTAAAACGTCAGACCTTTATTAAAGTCGTGGATTCGATTGTGTCTTTAACTTGGTTATCGTTAATATAATTGGGTTATTTCAATATTGATACATTGTACGGTGCCATTCTATTTTCTAGGACAGATCTCCTTTCATATCAGTCGTCATCTTCACGTTCGTGGAACCTCTCGGTTTTTTAGTGAAACGTTAAATGTTTGTACACCGTTTCAACTTAATGTTGCTAAGATGACCGAGTATTAACCTGCTGTAGATAGTCAATAATATTATCAGTCACATAGTTGTAGCTTTACAACTGTGATGAAATCATCATTCATCTACTTCGGATTTCGCCATGACAAATTCCTAGAGAAATGATAAAAACTGGTAAGAAAATTACCAGTTTGGCCTACTAACATTTCAGGGCTGGATGATCCAAGTGTGAACTTTAATCATGAAACCGCTTCTAACTCAATAGAACCGCCGACCAAGTACAAACTACGGATTTGTAATTTAGAGATTGAACTGACAAACCTCATATCTAAACGTTATCATTCAAAATCAGGGTTTTAGTAATTGCACAATATTAAATACAAATCATCGGTCCTATTCGTCACGGGAAGATTTCCGGGTTAGGTTGTATTTGCTCGACTTGTAGACTGTGGTCTGTATCTTATTAAGAATCAGAAAATAAGTTACCTTTTGTTTGAATTTGAGAGCCAGACTATGCGCCCTTGTGTCGGATAACAATATAGTGAAATTGAAGTCGCCAGTCTGTTAAGAGTTAACATATTGTAGTAAAGTAATGCGATAGTTTATTAGTATTAAAAGCGAGCCTTATCTCCTTTTCATTTCCATTTTCTCATTCTATCTTTATGTTTATAAGATACCGTTATCTTATCACACACCTGTCATATTTTTCAGGCTGGATCAATATTCTTGAACGTTTCTATTTTAGGACCACTAATAATTGTAAAATTTGATATACAAGTAAAAACCAGTGCCCGCCAAAAATGCAACGTAACTGAAGATATTTTAATTTAACGAGACACTAACGAACTAACAGCCGCCAGGTGATATTTATATTACAGTTAGGTGAGAAACACTCCCAAGATCTAAACTAGAAACTGGAGTAAGAATATACGTCTTTCCACTGATTGATTGCTTTGAACTATAACTGTCTGTTGTAATAGCTGCACACAATATTGGATATTAATCAGTGCCATAAGAAATTGATGGTTCAGTCGCATTTTATCGCATCCTGCCATTACTCACTATTCAGTTTGCTGCAACGAGAAGTGCTGATCAGCAGCCCCCTCAATTTCTTTTCCGTTTCACTAATATATATATTATATATAAATAACAATTTACACTATCTTATCAGATGGCAGAGAATGTAACGATGCCTTTCAGCGAGGAGACCATAACACGGCTCAAGGTAGCTAAGTTAGTGATCGCTACACTAGGTTCTCTTCTCAACATAGCTGTTATCTCCTTTATCCTGATAAGGAGGATGTATCGTAAATCTTACGAGTTCTCTTATCTTAACATGGCTGTTGCAGACTTGCTTTATGCACTGGTGCTTGCTGTCTTGGTGTGTCCCAGTCAGTACATTTAACATTTAATTATTACATGTTCTTATTTCATTGTAAAATATCATGAGAGTTGAGACTTTGGCGATATTTATAATTATACGAGAGACTTTTTTCTGATACATTTAAAATATCGTGCCGAAATAGAGACTGACTTTACTTCCGATGAGCCCAGCACCTGAAATTTACTGATTTCCTGATACTACGTACTCAGGGGATTTCGCAACATTTCCTGATAACATAGTGTGCAGAGCCACCCCACTTCTGGAGAACTACATGTCCTACGTTAACTTGCTGTGCATTCTGCCTATCACAGTCGACAGGATCATAGCTGTAGTCTTCCTGTCAGGTACCTATTCTAACATACCTTGAAGATTTAAAACAACTGGTGTCTGTTCGGTGTCTTTCTAATCATTGTTTCTAAACAAGACTACAGATTGAGTTAAAATCAAATCCATTTCTCACTTTAGACTACAGATTGAGTTAAAATCAAATCCATTTCTCACTTTAGACTACAGATTCAGTTAAAATCAAATCCATTTCTCACTGTAAATGTCTATGACAAGGATGTTGCATGTTTATTGTTTATAGAAACCCTCTATTAGCTCAATCCCTATAACAGATCATCCCAGGTACACGACACCAGCCCACAAAAAGACCCTGTTCTCAGTAATCCTACTAACCTGGCTACTACCCCTCATCTGGACAGCTGGTTTCAGTTTCCACATCTTCTCCACCATCGGCAGTCTCATCTTCTTCGAGCCCCACTCCAGCTGCTGCCACTTCCAGCGCTGCGACCCTCCTGAGTCCTGTGCGCCTTTCTACTACTCCCTAGACGTGATCACCATGATACTCCCACTAGTGTTCAACGTGGTGTCCTACACCCTGATCATGAGGGCTCTGCAGCGGAACACTAATAAGATATGTCTGAACACTAAGATTGTGGTAGTGCGAGCTTTGCTGACTAGTCTCAGCTTCTCTCTGAGCTGGATGCCTTTCTTTGTGATATTCAGGATTATGTCAGGACATGCTAATTTCGCTAATTACACGCTCATTATGATATTCTCGCCAATTAACACAGTAACAGATCCCTGCCTTCACATTGTACCTAATGATCTTATCAAGACTGTTCTGAGGAAGATCAAGGTGTTTGATCCACACAGTATTATTCAAACTGTAACTGAAACTGCGAAAAGAAACCTTTCTACTGCCCAGTGAAACACGTACGATGTAATTTGTATGTGATTTAGTGATTTGTAACTTTTTAACGAACTTTCAATTTCAATTTCGATGAGATATGAAATATTTCATTTCTTTTACATACATTTCCGCTTGCCTTAATAAGCTTAAGTCGAACTGTTTATTGTACACGATAAATTTCTCCCATAGAGACAGTCATTTGTTAATTTACGCTTTTGCCGAACAGTAGATTCTGTATGTCACACTGAACCCTATATTTAAGGGACTTCTTGACTTGTAGCTAAGGGCATAACACAGTAATTGTTATTTCTGTACTATGTATTCACTACTTACAGATTACCAGAGTGTTTGTCGCCAGGAGTGTACGTTAATGTACGACGTTACAAAATACAAACAGTTGAGTGTATAATAGTGACAGGTCTGTGGTTTCCGCGTTAAATATTGAAGAGCAGCAGTGTCACATGTGTTCAGCCCGGACAAATTTGTATATTTCCAGTGATAAATCTTAACATTGTGATACTGAGCCTGCATATTGAGGAGAGCAGTTGTACTGGATATTATATAATATAGTTGTTATATTACTTTGTTATCATATTATTTAAATTACAACGTTATTAATTGTACTTTAAACGAGTAAATAAAAAAATTGAACACACTGATTATTGACCTTGAGTAAGTGAACAACGCAGATGAACTAATTTTGGACACTTCATTAAGTTTAACATAACATTAAAATGAAATCGATTCAGATTCGGTCATTCACATGTTCGATATCAATCCTTCTCCTCGTTTGTTTTTCCTCAGAGTCACTTCAAACAGTGTTTCCACTCCTCGTTTTCTAGTCCACTCGAAGTTTGCTGCACCCATTTAGTCCTACCATCTTGACCCATCATGTAGTGTGCGATCTCAAGCAAACCAGTTTTACAAAGCTACTTTTATGATCGACAGTTCCCTCTCTGTTCTTCTAGTTCCGCTCACAATTAATCTCCTCCGCAGATACAGCAACACACAACTTTGCACATTCCTTTGAAGCAATTGCCAATGCCTCGGAAACAGGCTTTACCACAATCCACACAACACATCGTGAGAACTTCTGTAGCTAAATGCTAAATAACGACTATAAAAACTGTACAACTTGTAAATAACTAACTTTGATCGAGATTGGTCATAGGTCAATCAATCGGGCGTGGTGTTTGTTTATGTTCAGCCAGGAAGTTCATCCAGGAAGAGTAAATAACTAAAATAGCAACTATGTCATGTGATTTTATGATGCCACTCGAATGACACAGATAGTTAGGTAGTAGCAACCAAAATACACGCGAACATACCGACAAACAGAAATAAAAATAGGCTGGCAAACAGAAAAAACAGACAGACCGACAAACAATTAAAGAGACGGACAGAAAATAGTTTTAAAAACTGTCTTACCGTTATCTCTATACTTTTGATCCGAGGTAGGTCTGAATTGAGACCATCCCGCTGAGGAAGCTGCAAGTTTATCAGGTACTGAGTGTAAAACACTGATCCTAGCTCGAACAAAGCAACGTCACTGCAGTGTATGATCTGAAACATTATTATTTTCACTTTCGTTGCAGCAAATTCAGTTTTATTCTCATCAACAGATCATTGTCACTTTGATAAACTGCAAATTTCGCAATGAATTGAATCCGTACGATAACCAACAAAACAACTCTCCGTATCAAATAAAAAACGTTTAAAAGCTTCCTCAATATTCCTTATCTAGTCCCCTCTACTCACATCATATTCCTTATCTACCCCCTCTACTCACATCATATTCCTTATCTACTCCCTCTACTCACATCATATTCCTTATCTACTCCCTCTACTCACATCATATTCCTTATCTACTCCCTCTACTCACATCATATTCCTTATCTACTCCCTCTACTCACATCATATTCCTTATCTAGTCCCCTCTACTCACATCATATTCCTTATCTACTCCCTCTACTCACATCATATTCCTTATCTACTCCCTCTACTCACATCATATTCCTTATCTAGTCCCCTCTACTCACATCATATCTCTTATCTACTCCCTCTACTCACATCATATTCCTTATCTACCCCCTCTACTCACATCATATTCCTTATCTACCCCCTCTACTCACATCATATTCCTTATCTAGTCCCCTCTACTCACATCATATTCCTTATCTACCCCCCTCTACTCACATCATATTCCTTATCTACCCCCTCTAATCACATCATATTCCTTATCTACCCCCTCTACTCACATCATATTCCTTATCTACCCCCTCTACTCACATCATATTCCTTATCTAGTCCCCTCTACTCACATCATATTCCTTATCTACCCCCCTCTACTCACATCATATTCCTTATCTACCCCCTCTACTCACATCATATTCCTTATCTACCCCCTCTACTGACATCATATTCCTTATCTAGTCCCCTCTACTCACATCATATTCCTTATCTACCCCCCTCTACTCACATCATATTCCTTATCTAGTCCCCTCTACTCACATCATATTCCTTATCTACCCCCCTCTACTCACATCATATTCCTTATCTACCCCCTCTACTCACATCATATTCCTTATCTACCCCCTCTACTCACATCATATTCCTTATCTACCCCCTCTACTCACATCATATTCCTTATCTACCCCACACTCAAGCCGTCTACTGTGAACTATCCCCGAGTCCTGAGCGTGAACTGGTCTCCAGTGGTCGTCCTCGTGGTGCCTCCCAAATATCGCTCCTTTGAACGTTAGAGTAGGGCTCTCATCTGAAAATCGAGTAAATTTATAAAACTGTTTCATATCCATGGCCCATGGGAATCATCATATGAATCTCCAACAGCAAATTTGTTAATGGAATTGATTTGTTCAGTTAGATTCATTCCTCGTGACGAATAATCCTAAAGAACACAAGTTATTTGCAATCTTCAGAAACAGTTTGATTACATGTTTACAGAACAATTCTTCTGTCCTTATTGTTGAGCTTTCTTCAAAATTAAATACAAGATAACACAATTAACGTTTCTCAAAACTTACTAGTAAGCTTTATTTTAGGGTTTTGCAGTGGCGTGATCTGAAGAACGGTGATCATCCACTGAAACCACCGACTCATTGTGTAGTGAGAGTACAAGTCAGAGGGTAGGACTACGTAGAATACCAGGTTGTTACCAATCAGACGAGGGTTGTCTTCTTCTAGCGACTGGGGAGTTTTAATTGATTGAGTTTGAGGTTTATCACTTATCACTGTGGCAGTGTGAATTTTGATAATTGACACAAAACTATTGACCAGTTTATTTGACATTCTTCCATTGCCTATTCTATGCTTTGTTTAAGACGGCTGTATACTATTGACACCTTCTCTTTCTATCTTCCCTCAAGCAACAACTTATGCGTTTTGTATATAATAATATTATTTGTCTGATAATAAAAGCAAGGATCTCCCTCACCAGTATTCTTTCTGGACAACTCTTGTCATCAATAGGTTTGGTACTGTTCTGAAACTGTAGGTACTTATCGTTACAATTTTTAGTATTCCGGTGCATGGCATTAGTAGGTCGAGGTCCTGAAATGATTAAAATCAATTAAAACAAGTATAATGCTTTTCTAATAACTCTGACTAGTGTTCACTAGTCAGAAATATCAGGCAAAAATGGATTTTCCTATTCAAAATAACTAAAAGATTAACAGTAATTTAATAAAAAAGTGAATATTTTACCTTTCCCTCCTGCCACACAGAGAATTATCAGGACCACTAAGTTTCCAGCAAATAATAAAAGTAGATTTCTGCTGCTCAGCTTTTCCAAAACAATCGAATTAGCCATATCTACAACATTAAATTTTATTCTTGGAAACCTAAAAATAATGTGTCCCTTCTGTACACTAGAGAGAACCCTCTCAGTGTGCGGGAGCACATGTACTGTGTTATTTCATTATTCAAGATTCAAAATTTAAGATTCAATATCAAATATTCCATATTCAACATTCAATTTGTTGATATCCATGAGAGTCCTGTGACCAACATTGTCGGCTGTGCTAAGAGTAAACTTGATGGCACAAGTTTAGAAGACTCTTTAACTTTGTAGACACCCAAGGCAATGGCGTAACGAAGGGCCCCGCTGAAGTGGTCAGTGTAGCTTTCATTACAATTATCAAGCTCTCTTATCTTTTGTAAATTTGCGATAAGTTCAGTTGCTGTTACCGGGTAGTTTACCTTTGAGTGTGTACTTGTACATTACCATACAAGTACACTATGGAGGATGATCTGAATATGAGCCGATCTCTGTTGGGAATTCAAGCATTCGACTATGATGAACTGGAAAATGTGGATGGCCGTGTTACTAAGTGGTTCATTGCGTTGGGAAAAGAACTGAAAATCGACATTTGTGGAGATATGGACAGAGAAATATTCATGGCTTGAGGCTTCATCTGTTTATAAAAGGCATCTGTCACTCTGGCTTGTGGAAGCAATAGACCTCGTTCGACGGCAGGAATGCCATATGGCTAGCACGATGGAGATCATCCATTGCTTCAAGACGGAAGCATTAGCAGACAAGGAAAAGGTGAGAACAGCTTCCAGCGCTAGTAACCGCAGTTTTGGAGGAGATCAAGGAGAAACCTCACTTCGAAGCGACTAGAGTTGGCTGCAAGAGGCCAGATAGTACGGCTATCCGACCAGTTAAGATCGCCGTCAAAAGCACAACAGAAGTTTATCAGATTCTGATGAAAACATTAACGGGTGATACTCGTAAAATATTTGTTCCATTTGATTCACGATGTCAATCCTTCGCATTTCGCCGATCTGCATGGTTGCGAGAAGAATTATTTGATGCGCGGCGCGACCCAGTAGTGCATCGCGCTACAACTGTTCCATATATACAGGACCGTCGACGAGTCCAACTCGGCGCGCGTCCTGGTAGGTTGTAAACCTACAAATGAAAACAATACTACTTTTTTCTTCAATTCTGATAAATTTTTTACCAAAAGTTGATTAGGATGTAAATAAATAATTCCACCGTGGAGCACAAATATGCATACGTTACAGCGCAGCGTATGCAGATCGCCGTGCGCACACTTTTTTTGCGCGGCACGAAATTTTTTTAGTTTTTGGCTTGTATAATTACAAGGAAATTACAAATATACAACATACAAAATTGACCAAGTTGCAAGTTAATCATTAATTGACGATGTCCATGTCAATTCTCTGCAGCTCGGCGAGGCCCAGTAGTAAAGTGCATTTTGCCGATCTAACGAATTAGCATTATTTGATGCGCGGTGTGGCCCAGGCCCAGTAACGCATTGCGCTCGCGCTACTATATTGTTTGTAAGTTTACAACCTACCAGGACGCGCGACGAGTTGGAATCGTCGACGGTCCAATATATGGAACAAATATTTTACGAGTATCACCCGTTAACTATATTGTATATACAAATTGTAGCACAACGCTTTACTGGGCTGCGTCACGCACTCAATTATGCACTTCTCACTAGATCGGCAAGATGCACTTTACTTTTGGGCATCGCCGAGCTGCGAAGGATTGACATCGTCAATTAATATACAAGTCAATCACAATTCTGCAAAAATAATTTAAAAATAACCAATCATGCGACGCGAGTTTTACTCGCAAACAGTATACAAAGTAAATAACTAAAATACAACTATGACATACAATTTAAAACTATAAAACGTAAAATTAAATTACGCCGCGCATAATTCAGCTTTCATTTTCTTACATAATTCTTTACAAATCGAGCGCTAAAGAAAAAACTATTTGCATTTCACAATTCACATATATTATACTTTACTGAAATAAGGTTCTGTGTAGTTTTACAGCTTTAGGTGTCATCAATTGTTATCAATTTCAGTTAAATTATAATGTGCTTGAAATATTTGCGATCTCAACTCGAATATGACAAATATCCCTTACATATCTTAAATGCTCGGGGAATGTTTGTCAAGCGAAGATTTGGACTTCATGTTGCAGTGGGCAATTAAACTGTGCAGTATCATTGCAATTACAGTTTAATACTTTCAACACTACTATATAACAAATAATTTTAGGCATGGCTACCGATGAGTAATCCGTTGGAGTAAAGTCTGCCGGTGTCCTGGGTGTGATGGATCTGAGTTAGATGGCATGTTGTGGAGGTGGTAATCGTTTCTTCCTATTGCCCTGGTAGTCTTGTACTGCCAGGGCTCCTGCGGTCTGGTACGAGGTTAGTTTAATTGTTAGAGATCTAGTGATGTTTGAAATTTGTTAACTCCTTTTAGCTACTTCTCCCTTAGATAAGTATTGCATTCTTTTTTCTGCTATACAGTTCTTTACCACAACTCTGTTCATTATAATTCAAATTTTTTCACTCTTAACTATAAATCTCTGGCCTATTGACTGTTTCAGATCCAGATTGCTAGGGTTTATAACGGTGCCACTGAAACATCCTGCTGTTGATCTCTTATCTGGATCACCCAGTCTCCTCCCGATCCTCCCACACTTCACAACAAGATGCCAACACTGCCTGCCAACTTCCTCGCCTTACTGCAAAACTTATCTCTTGAAGTAAAGCAACACATGCATACCCTCCTCACTGAGAGTATCCTGGACAGTCTGAAAGAGGAAAAGCTTGCTTCAAAGATAGAACGGTTAGATGAAAAGAAGAAGGAAAAGAAAACGAAGAAGGAAACTACTGTTCAAAATGTCTCGTATAGCCCACATGCGCTCGTAGAGCACGTCCCAGTCCTCCCTGGAATGAACGAAAATCTATTCAAGAAAATCACAGAAGAATTGGATTCAATGAATCTTGAAGGCAAATCTAAAAAAGTCCACACCCTATGGCTAAGCCCTTCATCAGAAGACTACTGCTTTGGTAACATAGTTAACAAGCCACATCCCATCAACAACTTCCCTAGCATCTTTAAGTTGATGGGACTTATTAATGACCTCCCCTCCACCACCAACAACATGTATGCTTGCCTTGTTACTAGGTACGACACTCAGCAAGCTAAGTTAAGCCTCCATAAAGACGATGAAGACCTAATAATATCACAGTCCAGCTCCATTTGCACTTACTCAATAGGAGCTCCACGGTCACTTGAGTTTGTACTGGATACAACCCAAGTAGAACAACGCACAACTAGGGCCTCTAGGTCAAGGCCAGCCCAAGAGTTGATTAACGCAGACTTCACCCTCCCTGCCACCAATGGCACACTGAACATCATGAAGCCTGGTGCACAGCAAGTCATGAGGCACAGGATTGCCCCAGGAGTTGCACCTTCTGACAATGAAACCTGTTGGAGGTATAGTCTCTCCTTCAGAAAGTTAGCCACACCTTCCTCTTCCTCTTCCCCTTCATCTCCTATTCTTCCCTCTCCTACATCCGACAGTCCTAATAAAGTATCCCCAAAAGCCCCCATCACAGACTCTCAAAAACACCAGAAGTCTATCATTCTCATTGCTGGTGACTCCTTTGCTGCTCGATTGGACGCTGATCGCCTCAGTAGAGGTAAAGAAACTGTCACCAACATAGCTAAGGGTGGGCTTAAGATCTCAGCTATACAGAAATCTATTGAGGCCTTTTATACAAAGAACCCTCTTGTGCAGGTAAAGAAACTGTTCTTAAGCTTCGGTGCCAACGACATCCGGTACTGTACCCAGGGGTTCAATCATCTCAAGACCCCTGTGAGTGACCTTATGAAGACAGCAAAAAAACTTTATCCAAATGCACGTGTTTTTGTACAAGCTATTCCACCAGTCCACCCCAACGGACAAGAGAAAATCCCTGGTAATGTTTGTGCTATGAATAATTTGATCTTTGATCGCTGCTCTAGGCATAAACTGTTTTACCTTGATGTTTTTTGGGCATTCTTAGACCGCTATGGAAACAGAAACGAGAGATTATTTCCTAAGTGTGACAATAGGGGCTTTTATGATATTCATCTTAGCCCCAAGGCTGGGATGCCAGTGTTGGCAAAGTTCTATCTCAGAATCATACACTCAAAGTGGTTTAATCCAATGGGATACTGATGTGGTAATCCAATTCAATATTTCAATTTTTCATTGTCTGCATCAGTATCCTATTGGATCTGATCATTTGGATGTTATTTATATGTATTCAAACGAAGTGATAGCATAATGTATGTTACTTCATATTATAGCACAATACCTGACAAAACACAACGGCGAGACACAATTCTGTTAATAATATACTTTAAAGTTCAATGGGAATATCGGCTCAACAACACCGTGTTGCAACTGGTATGTTTTCTAGGTATGTTATCATCAGTAAAAGTAATAGAGGTAACGGGGAAAATTTGTTGTCCTGTCTTCTGTCTCGTCATATGTTATGTGCTCTATTGGGTATATTTTATTTTTATGTTATTTTGTATATATTTTCTTTGACTATCGATGCTAATATACTCCCTGGTGCTCCCCTACAACCTAAAATACACTCTGTACCATGTTTGAGGTCATCCATAAATCTTTACTTTATGGTAATATTTTGTACCATTTTTCTCAGACACTTTAAACTTGTGTATAGGGGGGAGGGGGGCATTGGGACAGCCTTAGCTGCAATTTCTGTAAAATTGCTATCTACCACAAAAACCAAACTGTCACCTACCATGTCACCGAAACAGACTGCTAAGTTACTTTTCAGTATAACCAGCAGCTGGCTTGGGGTCATGTCTAGGTGTGGTCTGGTTTTTCTATCTCTCCTTAATATTTCCCTGATAGTAATTTGTAATTGTTCCTTACTGAACCCTGGACCAAATTTATCCGTTGTTTACAATAATGTCCATGGTTTCCTAAATACACGCGATTTAGCATCAGGAACACCACCACTAAATATGACCAAGATACATGAATTCCATGGTTATATCTACAAACATAAGCCTCACATCATTATTCTAAACGAGACATGGCTGAAAAATTCCATTCTCAGTAATGAGGTGCTCCCTGACAAATACAAAGTATTTAGGCTTGACCGATCCTTAAGATCGCATCCAGTGGATGCAACCCAGCCCAAGAAATTCAGAAAAAACGGTGGTGGTGTTCTGATTGCCCATAGAACAGACATTGATATCTCGAGTCTAAAGTTCTCTAAAGTTAGTGTTCAAGCTGAATTATTATCCATCATAATTAAGACTCAGTGTGGAAGAAACTTTTGTATATCAACATTTTATAGAGTAGGAACGCTTGGCTTAGATAATTTTGAATCTTTCAAGAAACATTTTGTTACTTTAGCATCTGCCAGAAAATTGCAAAGGCACATTCTGGTAGGTGACTTTAATTTGGCTTCGATTTCCTGGCCAGATGGTCAGTCATCTTGCCAGCTACATTCTAGCTTTGTAAATTTTCTCACTGATGACCTCGGACATACACAACTTATTAGCTCCCCTACTCACAAGTCAGGCAACACCTTAGATCTTGTGTTCACTAACATTCAAAACCTTATTAAGAATGTTAAAGTTTTAGATCAAAACGAAATGTGTATGTCCGACCACTTTTGTATCACATTTGACATTGATATTAAGACCAAGTATATTAAGCAGCCTAAAAGAAAGATCTTTAATTATAGTAAAGGTAATTTTAGGGGCCTGAATTCTGAGTTATTTAGCATCGATTGGGATAGTATATTTGAGTGTAATGATCCTTATCTTGCCTGGAGTCGATTCAGAGGAGTTCTCGGTGCAGCCTGTGACCGATGGATCCCTAAAAAGACCATTAAGTCTCAGTTCCAGCCCCCATGGTATGACTCCGAATGTGATCGTCTCCTACGAAATAAGGAGAAATGGAGAATAAGGCATAAGGGGAGCAACTCTGAGTCTCATAAACAAAAGTTTCGTGCATTTCGCACAAAATTTAAAAATTTGATGGACGAAAGAATGAGACTCAGTGTTGAGGATGACTCCGATGATGCTCTTATCTCCAAGAAATTCTGGACCTACGTTAAATCTAAATCAAAGTCAACCAGGATCCCTGAAACTGTCAAATATCATAATCGCTTTCGAAACAATCCATCTGATCAAGCTGCCCTTTTTAACGAATATTTTTATGAGCAGTTTTCTCAAGAGAGCGATTATGGCATTGACATAGATTTTCGTGATGATTGTTTTCCAAGTCTTGTGTTTAGTAGAGAAGATGTTCTGTTGATTCTTAAAAAGTTAAATCCTAACAAGGCCCCTGGCCCTGATGGGATTCATGGGAGAGTCCTCAAAAACTGTGCCCAAAGCCTTGCATACCCACTTAGTGTTTTATTTAACCTGTCTTTCTCGAGCGGATGCATACCCCCTGATTGGAAGCTGGCACTTGTAGTACCAGTGCACAAAAAGGGCGATAAGTCTTCGGTTGAGAACTACAGGCCTATCTCGTTAACATCTCTTGTAATGAAAGTCTTTGAAAGGTGCATAAAGACTGCATTATACGCTGCGTGTTCTGATCTGTTGGATGACCGACAACACGGTTTTGTTAATGAACGTTCATGCACAACCCAAATGATACCTTTCACGGACAATCTTGCACTTGCATTGAATAACAGGTCCAGGACTGATATAATATATTTTGATTTTGCGAAAGCCTTTGATAGCGTTTCGCATGACCTCATTTTAAGTAAATTAAAGAATATTTTTAATGTCGATGGACTAATGCTTAAATTTATTAAGTCCTATCTTGAGGGGCGACAACAACAAGTAGTGATAGGAGGCCAAACGTCTTCTTCTCTACCAGTTCGGTCTGGTGTCCCTCAAGGTTCTATACTTGGCCCTTTATTGTTTGTAATATTTATAAATGACATGTTCTCCTGTGTCTCTGAAGGCACCAATATCGCCCTTTATGCAGATGACACTAAAATTTGGAGGGAGATTCTTGGTTACCCTGACCATCACATAATCCAAAATGACATCAATAGATTATATGATTGGTCAGTGAGAAATCGAATGAAGTTCCACCCACAAAAGTGCAACGCCCTCTCTGTGTCCCTGCAAAGAAACGTGCTGGATAACTTGCCATTCAATACCTTCTTTTATAAACTTTCTGGAAGTGATATTGACTTTGTGCCCTCTCAGTCAGATTTAGGAGTCGCAATAAACTCCAGGTTTAATTGGGGTGCACAATGTAAAGCGCTTGTTTCCAAAGCTACGTCTAGACTTGGACTACTTAAGAGAACATGTCATTTCACTACTGATAAAAGGCAGAAAAGATCGTTCTATTTAGCGTTAATTAGGTCTATATTTGAACATTGTTCTGTCATATGGTCCCCTCAATCTGCAACTCATCTTCAACAGTTTGTTGCTATCCAAAAGAGGGCTATTAAATGGATCAATGGTGAACCTTACTCCAGTTATAATGACGATAAACTTGCTACAGAGCAAAAGAAACTAAATATTCTCCCTGTTAAACAGAAGTTTATTTATAACGATCTTATGACCTTCTATAAAATAGTGAATAGCATAATTCCAGTTTCGCTCCCTACATATATAGTCCTATGCCGTCCAGAGGGCACCCGATACACTAGGCACAATGCTCAAATAATTGATATGTCGGATACTTCAACTTACATGAGTACCACTGTGCCCTGCTCGGATGCCTTCCGAAATAGCTTTTTTCATAGATCTATGCTGAAATGGAATAGTCTACCAGTATGTATCCGGCAGTCAGAGCGTATTTCTACTTTTAAGGCCAAACTGATCAAGTACCTCTGGGCTGCCGATACAGTCTGGCCAGATTAGCTCATCAGTCTTATGAGTCTCAGAAATTTGTTTTTGTTGGTTACAATTCTGTCCGTCCAATTTCCTATCTGCTTGTCCTTTTTTTTTTTTTTTTTTTTTTTTTTAATCAGTTGTGACGGAATTGTAATGAACAAAATCCTTATAATTATTTATGATATGTTTGATTTCTTGTTAATGTTTGTCATTCAAATTTGGTAGACGGCCCCAACGTTAATGTGGCTCTTGCTATGTGTTGGTTCAGCCGAATTAATTATTATATAATCAAGTTTATTTTTCTCGTTAGTTGTCATCCGGCCAAACATTAAGCAACTTATATTGCAGTACCATTTATCATTTAGTAACCAAAATATGTCATTGTAATTTTGCATGGCTGAAATGTAACGCTTGATTTATATATATAATGATTAATTGAATTTTCAAATAAAAAAAAAATTATGCTGTATCATTTGAAAAGCGATTTCACCAATTCCTGGGATTTTATTTTCAATGTGTTTCTTCTTCGATTAAATGAATGTTTTACGTGGCCATTTTTACCATTTACTATTAAACATAATTTATTATATCGGTTTGTTTACTGACTACACCACCTGAAGGTTGACCTCTGGAAGCGTTTCATCTTGCTGGAGTCGTATGATGATATTCTCCATTTGAGAGAACTTGCTAGTGACCGTGGTTATTGGAGTAAATTGTTTAACTTTATACTTGAGTACAAGTCAATTTGACTATTGGGACATATAATTTTACAAAGGATCACGTTTCGGTTCTAAATTATTTTAGGATTGTTGACATTTGTAAGATTGACATGTTTGATAATAATTACTGACTATTATTGAGGGTGTCTGATCTGCATTATCGTCTGCAAATTGGATTACTGCAACGGCCTTTATTTTGGAATCAGTGACTACCTCATCCATCAGCTTCAACTCATTCAAAATGCTGCTGCTAAAGCTATATAGTAGGACTATATAAACATGATCATTTAGGAGATACTCTGAAAGACCTTCATTGGCTGCCTATCAGTTACAGAATTTTAGTACAAATTATTACTTCTTGTTTATAAATGCCTTAATGGCATGGGACCAGATTACTTAAGTACAATGTTTAAATTTGCAAACTATAATCATCTTATCTATTTGACTGAACCTAGAGTGCACACACAATATGGAGAAAGATCTTTTCAGAAAGTTGGCCCTAAATTATGGAATGAACTACCATTTGAGATTAAGAATTGTACAACATTGGACTCTTTTAAAGTGTATCTGAAAACATTTCTTTTCAAACGTGCTCTTAATATTTTTCAATCCTAGTTTTCCCTAATTGGTTCTACTGGGAAATACATACACATTATCGTTTTAAATTTAGTGTATCAAGTCTAATCACCCTTTTCTGGTTTAGCATATAATGTGGGTTGCTTTTTCAGGTTTTATTGTATCCTGAACTGTTTTCGTGGCACACCTGTGCATTTTAAGTTGTTGTGCCACTATAATATAAAAGTTTAAATTATTATTATTTATTATCTTATAGCTGGACAGCGACCATTGCTAAAATTATATTGGATGAGTGGTTAGAGCTTCCACCTTCTGCACAGAAGGTCCAGGGTTTGAATCTCAGTGTCACCTAGTCTATGGAGATAACTTAGAATCCTTTGGATCTGTGTGGACTTACAAAATTGTGTAATTTCTCCTCTGTCAACTCAGCCGAATGATGGGAAAACCGTGATTGAGGGTTAAATGGGGAGGGCCAGGGGCGCTACATTATACTATGCAGTATGCTATCTGTTTATTGTTTGAATCACTTTTTTCTCTTTTTCTCTCTCTAAAAATCTTAGAAGTTTACTTACGAGATTCTGTTGTCTACTGCATGTATCGCTTGCATTGCATTTCTAATCCTTTCAACCTTTTATTAATTATTGTAATGCAGTTCCGATCCTACTGCATGGATATTTTTGGTTCATGATGTAGGAGTATTTCCTAATCTTACTAGGGATAATGCATCTCAGAAAGGGGGGGGAAAACCTTGAATCCCCCTCATGTGCACACTGACTATAATATATTTAACATCACGCCTACTTTAATTATTAAGGCTAAAATATAATTTGTTTGTTGCTAAATGTTCCCATGACCATTAACGTTACTCCACTGCGTGATGTCCAAATAATTAACGTTTGTTTCAAATTAAATCAAATCATTTTGATAGCATTTGATAGCTAATTTGTTCAGTTCATAAAACCTTTACAGCAATGTGATATTGGGATCTGCTTTATAAACCCTAGCAATAGATGGAACTAATTCACCATGAGATACAAGAAGGTCAGCTCTGTGCCCAACACTGTTTGAACACTCTGTTACAATGTCCTGTGTTTGATGCCATCCAAGTTAGTTGTTTAGGTATCTGACTCATACAAATGAACATTTTACTTTATGGCACAGTGTCCACCATAAATGTGAAACTAAACCTGAACTTATTTCGATTATCAAGCATAAAATTAGGTCAGGTTATCACTCAATTCAATAGATGTAATGTGAATTTTTAGAATATTTATTTCAGCTGGCATCCATCGCACAGCAGTTAGATTCAGAGGAGACTAGCAGGATGGCTGAAGGATCTGCTGAGGAATATTCTCGGTTCCTTGAACAGCCTTCTAGCAATATGGATGACAGTGGCTTCTTTTCAGTCCAGGTTTGAGTCATGATTTATAAAAGAATATACTAAGCTTGATTGATTTGATTAAGCCCTCAGAAGGATGACATATTTTAGTGTATTATATGACAGCTAAGATTGTATTACTTAACAACTAAGTAATTGTGCTCTATGTTGTATGCTTGTGCTAACACAGCCTTTGCCTCAACTATAGCTTCAAAGTTTAGGTCATCATGAGAGCACTGGAGGTTTATGGATTATCTGCGAAGCATTGGAATCATCCTGACCTAGCTGAAGCTCGAAAACATCCTGCAAATAACTTCTCTTCCTTTGTTTGCAACCTGAACCAGCACTGGTAAATGTTCTTCTTTATTTAAGTTATTTAAAGGTTGCTATTTACTATGGTCTATGATTCCGTAGTACAGTGTTTCAAAAAGCCTCTGGACATGAAAGTTTTACATCTGTGTAGTAAATTCACTAATGCAGAGAGTATGGTATATTTATTTATTGAATTGCTATCCTTTTAATGCTGTTGCTCAAAGTTTCATTTGAAAATTTCATTTTCAAGACTAAGCTATTGATAAATCACGGTTTTACTGTACATAGCATATATACAATATATAATGTGTCTAAAAATTGTAAGGCGGTACAGTTTATCAAACTTTTACCATACAGTAAAACGTAACAGTGGCTGATATAAATTATCTAATTTTATTTAAACTCAAAATCCTGTATGTAATAAATTTAATCTGGTTCAGGTTCACGATCAGGAAGATAGGTTTACAGTGGTTTAACATAGACAGCTGCAAATCTGGCCCAACCCTCATCTCAGACACTTATCTTGAGGTTTATCTCAAGCAACTGGAGCTCGAAGGATACACCATATTTGTAATCCTTGGAACATTGCCAGAGTGCCAAGCTGATGCTGTCCTATTAACATCACCCCTAGATCCCAGTTTGTACAACACTACAAACTCTCGAAAGACAACCAAGCCCAAAGAAAAAGCTCCAGATGTAAAGCCAGTTGAGACTGAAAGTGTTGAGGAGATAAGACGGAAACGTCTTGCAAAGCTTTGTGGAGAAGCCAGCTCAACATCACAAGATGTTATGTCCGATAGTACTGATCTAACCCCAAGTTCTCATTCTATAGATGACAATAGTATTGAAGATGAAGAGTTACAGAAAGCTATTGCAATGTCTTTATTACATTCCTAGATTAGATTGGTGGATTATTAAGATTTTAAATGAGCTGATTTTATTGTTCATATTAGGTTAAAGTCTGTAAATATTTATGTTTCCTGGATTGTCATATTATATATCAACATGATAGATTTCATTTGATGTTAGGCTACAGTTTTTTGACAGCTTACTTTCTAGAATAGTTCCTCGATTATGGCATTGTCAGGAATTTATGATGATGTAAATTGCACCCATGTACATTGATGGAGACGTTTTCTATTGAATTTGATTTGTGTTCTATCAATTATTATTTATGCAAGATTCAAATAAAATTACCCAATTTGCATCGTTTGGAGGTATTTTGAACAATTAAGTTTAATTTTAGCTGCTGAATTTTGTTATTAACACTTGTTATGTAACGAAATTATAGGTAATGAACTTTGTTAATACTACATGTTTATTTTTCTATTGTATTGGGAACCAATACAATAGCAAAATCTAGTTCTTTCAACTTTCTAACTAGCTCAAATTAAGCTGAAACTTACAAACAATGTTCAGCAGTCACCAATAAAAATGTTCTTCAAGCAGAAGATGAGAATTTTGTGAATAAATATAATTTTTAGACAAGCAAATTGTTTTGAAATGGATAATTTAACTATTTAAACAATATAATAGGAAGTGAATTTAAAATACAATTGTATTTTCTAATAGTTTTAAGTTGTATATTATGTATCATCAATGCCGATAATTTCTGTCCTTTATTAGTACATTGGTGTGCCTGTTTGATCATCACGTTAAAAGCATTAATTCTTCAGTACAACTGGTCATGTTATTGTCAGTATAACTAAATTTATAAGACCAAATTTGATTGGCACCCACCCAGTAAATTAATTCTTAGTTTCTCCTATACTAATTGATAAGTTCAGAAAGTCCGATCACCGGTTTATTTATTTATTTAACCGGTCCGGTTAAATATCATATTTTATCATTTCTACATTTCTCTGTAACGATCTTTTGCTCCAAAAGAATCAAGCCCATCATGACAAGTCTGACCGAAGAGGAGGAAAACGATATCTCCAGATTTACTGAAGTTTATAAGAACACCCGGAACTTGCTTGATATTGTTGGTGGTTGGATATTATCAGGACCTGACGATGATCTTGACGACGTAACATTTCGCACACTTTGGCAACAAACTGACCCTGTGGTAAAAGAGGCACATCATTATCTTTACAAAAATTACACTAAAGATGGTAAATGTATGCCTGTAACTCCTACCTCCAAACATGGTTTAATTTGCCAGATTAGAAACAAGTCATCATATGTGCACCTTTACAACTACGGTGATGATAAAAAGAAGAACTGTCTGGATTTTTGGAATCATAAGGGCTTAGTGAAGCGATATGATTTAAGTGGAAAGGATGTTCATGGCCCTATTTACACTGATCCGGAATTCTCGTCTCTTTCTGTCAGCCAGGATGGGAAAAATGTTGTGTATGTTGCAGAAAAGAAGGTTGTTAAATCTGTGTCATTCTTTGCTGAGAATCCTAAACCAGGTGACAAACAGGGTGGGGTGTATGATTATACTGAATCTTGGGGGGAGCAGCTGGAGAAATGTTGTGAATCTGTGATCTGTGTGCTGAATTTAGACTCTGGAGAGGTAAAGATACTGGAAACACCATCTGATATCTTTTGTGCTAAACCATCTTGGTGTGGTAATGAGACTTTGTTTTTTATAGGTTTCGACTTGAAGTGTTCGAAGCATGGTGCAATATACTGCTGGAATAAGCCTGGTAAACTATGTTCATACAAGACTGCAACAAATTCCGTTGCATTCCACACGCCAGAGGGTAAATCTGTCTACATGCCCTCACCTAACCATGAGTCAGGCGAAGTAGCATTCTTGATGTGTGAGTCAGGAGGGCCTCATCGAAAGTACATGGACGTTTGTATATTCGATGGTAAAGAGAACTTCAAAATAGTCGAAAATTCACTATTCTATGGAAAGTTTTCTCCTTCTCCTTGGATTGATGGTAGGAATCTTCTTTTAGTGAGCTTTACAGGAACCAAATCTGTTCTGATTAAAATGAATACAGAAAGTGGCTTTAAAGAGAATTTGTGGGATGGGAGATTTGGGACGGCTTCTTTGGATGTTCTGGACCAAGTTGGCTCTCGATGTTTGCTCTTTGTGAGTGATCTAAATCCTGTTTTAAGTGAGAATACAAAACAGGGCATCTTTTCTGCTGATTTAAGCAATGAAAGTTCAATTAAAGAATTTTGGAAGAGCAGTTTGTGTGATAGCCCTGACGTGAACTGCAAGTATACAATCGAATCATTCAGCAGAGAAGAAAGAGCGTACAATGGAATTCTCATTAGACCTGGTGAAGGTTGCTCTGATTTAAAGACTCTTATAGTGTTCCCACACGGCGGACCTCATTCCATGTATACAACAGCATTCCGTCACGACACATACACCCTGGCTCAACTTGGTTACTCCACCCTCCTTGTTAACTACACTGGCTCGCTAGGTTTAGGACAGGAGAGTATTGATATGTTGCCTGGTAATGTGGGTGATATAGATGTGAAGGATGTGCACCACGCTGCAATGCAGATAGCACCAGGGTTCCAGCATGTTGTGGTGATGGGTGGTTCACATGGTGGTTTCTTGTCTGCTCACCTTATTGGACAGTATCCTGACTTCTACAAAGCAGCTGCTATCAGGAACCCAGTTATTGACATGTCTAACATGGTGGGAGTATCTGACATTCCTGATTGGTGTTACTGCGAGGCAGGTGTAGATTACAGTGTGTACCGCCCTCCCACTCCTAATGTTGCTGGTATTGCAGCAATGCTGGACAAATCCCCCATTCGTTACATAGACCAAGTTAAATGTCCTGTCCTGATGCTAATTGGAGCTAAAGATTTGAGAGTACCTCCCTCACAGGGGCTAAGGTATGTAAGGTATTTGAGGTCACGTGGTGTTCCGTGCTCGTTGAGAGTGTACCCTGAAGATTGTCATCCTTTGAGTAGTGTTCCTGTTTCTGCAGACTCGCTCGCTCATGTTCATTTGTGGTTCAAGAAACATTTAAATCTTTCTTAGGAAACGTTTATCTGATTAGAAACTTTTAGAACATTTTTAATTTCTCTATTGAAATTATCAAGCGTAGACAATTTGTAAACTCAAGTAGAGAGTGTTTCGTAATGATCGTTAATTTATTCGTTGTTAAGAAATAAGTGCCTTCATTCAGAAATGGGCATGGTACATTTACGCGTTATATTTGTCGTTTTGTCGTGAATGTTACAGTTAGAATTTTTTTAACTGTTTGTTATCTGCTGGTAGCCTTGATAAGTTTGAAATGTTAATTTACCACCCTGATGTAATCGATAGCTTCAGTCAAGTAAATCTTGCCAAAATTGAATCGCTGAATCCAATTTCTGAACGCAAGAACAGCACTCTCTTCAAAACATTACGTTTGAGCCGTTTATAATCTATGCTATAACGACTATCACTATCTAGCTAGCTATGTGACGAGTTATGTAAAGATGATGGTAAGCAGCGCTCTAATAAATCAACCTATGGATGACGATGATTTGGATTTCGATGACGAAGACAGCGATATCTGTAGATTTTGTAGATCCGGTGGATCGCCAGGTAGTTATTTGTGTGTTAAATGAAGAAATGTGATTCTAGAAATGCTATGTGAGTCAGTGAATGTTATTATTTCGGGTTTTGCACAATTTTGACTGCCAGCATTTTTGACTGCCAGCAACTGTTCAGTTTCCATTTTCGAAGAATTCTCAAACAAATTCTGCTACGGAGCCATTTACTAAGCATTTCATTCGCTTTATCGATCTAAGCCAAAGTCGCCTGTTCTTCTTGAAACACAAGGATATATATCCGTTAAAAGGGTCTACTGATTTTCCATATTCGGTGTACTTTTTCAGTTGTAAGCGTAGCGCGCACGACCGAATTTTATAACGACATTGTGGATTTCATTAATCCGTAATTGTGTAATACGATAATGATGACATAATGTAATAGTGTACCCTGTAGTATTGGTTGTCGACCACTTTGGTCAACAATGATCTGCCGAAAGGAATTAGAGTGTTCGAAACTGCAGATGGAGTCGATTTTAACTCTTTCTTTAACTATACATGATACTTTAACTTCTATATATAGGGTCGTGCGTTATTCTGTAGAATTAAGAATACAATGGTTAATTAATACACTCTCCCGACTGACTCTGACCTCAGGTCGACCGTTGTTCCATCCCTGCAAATGTATTGGCAGTATTCGTTACATACACCAAGAGTGCCTTATGCAGTGGATGAGGCACAGCAAGAAGGAATTTTGCGAATTATGCAAACACCCAATCAAGTTTCAGGTATGTCTCAAATAATTTGAATTTCTTAATCCTACAAATACACATCATAGATTATTTTTCCAAAAGCTGATCCCAATTTGTGTCGTGAACTAAAGTTGTAATCTATATTTCAGCCTATATACGCAGCTTCAATCCCGATTTGTGTTGTGAACTAAAATTGTACTCTATATTTCAGCCTATATACGCAGCTTCGATGCCTAGCTGGTTACCAGTGAGTGCCCTATTTAGCGGGATCATAACTACCTTCCTTCACGCTATCAAGCTGTGGTTACATTACTCCCTAGTCGCTTTATGCTGGCTCGCCTTCGTCCCTCTCGTATCGTTCAGAACTTACAAATGTCTGTTTAGTGGTTCAATAGCGCGTAAGTTACAAACGTTACGTTTTTTTGTATCACTAAAATGTTGGTTAAAACTTATGGAAATAAAGATTAAACTTTTCGACACTTCAACACAGCAAAGTCGATGAATTTTCAAATTGTTCACCCCATTAATGATTTCAGCGTTTATCTCATTACCGTACGACCCACTCGAAACAATACTCGCGGACTGTTTCAAAGGGAGTATAATAGTGTTGATAAGTTTCTGTGTGATATTATCACTGGTATGGTTGAGAGATCAGATTGTTAACGGTGGAGGTCCTGACTGGTTAGAGAATATTCAGGAGGATCCTCCTTTAGAGGTGAGAAAAGTAGTATTAAACAGGCTACCAGGATCTTTCTTTTAGTAATAATCGTAGTAATAATTGTAGTATTTTATACTTTGGTAGTCGGTACATACTATTTTCCTTGCTGATGATAAGAACTATCTTGCTGTATTTATGGTTCAAATGAACTGAAGTATCTTGTAATTAGGTAGTTGACGACAGAACCGATGACAGCGGAATTGAAGATAATGATGACAACGTGGTTCGACAGTTGGATTGGGACGATGATCCTGCGCAGGCAGGCCAGCAACTAGCCCGAGTTCATCCTATATTGAACCAGAACAATGATGACATTATCGGACCTAATATTGTAAGAATTGGGGAACTTGATGTTAAAGCACTTATATTTGAATATTTACGAGATGTTCCACTCATTACCAATTTGAATATCCAACATTTCAGATCGACCGGGCAGCAGAAGAATTAACATGGGAAAGAATGCTAGGAATGGACGGTTCGTTGGTCTTCATAGAATACGTATTTTGGGTAGCCACCCTCAATGTCGTGTCCATCACCCTCTTTGGTTTGATACCCTATCTACTGGGCACTGTTGTAGCCATGGCAGCAGGAGTGGACAAAGATTTGGAAGTTGTGTTAGTTGGGAGAGGTGCTATTCTTCTAATTGGGTGTGTCATAATATTTTATTCGTAACCTTATTTTCCTGTTGTCGTCATCCAAATCATCGGGCTTCTAACTCACTAAAATTTGAACATTTCCAACAAGTTTTTCAAATGACGAGATACTATCTCGGAGATAGTTACATAATTCAGACTTATTCACAGGTACATGGTAGTATTCCTCCTGATGGGATATGGACACACTGTAGCCCGGTTTTTCAACTGGACCAGGGTTGAACACGTTTTGGGCATCGGCTTTATAATCGTCAAAGTAGCTTTACTCCTGGCACTAGAGGTAGCGATATTTCCGACACTGAGTGGCTGGTGGATTGACATATGTTCTCTGAAGTTGTGTGACAGTACACTAGCCGACAGGATTAACTACCTCTATACGGCCCCTGGAACTACCACTTTCCTCCACTGGCTGGTAATGACCCTCTCCAACCTCTTGTGTTCCCATGATGTAAATATCTCTTTTCACTTCTTCATATTAGCATTAATGACTTTCAGTTTCACTTTCATTATCATTGAGTTCTGCTCAGGTGGGGATGGTGTTTGTGTTCTACTTCGCTTCCTTTGTTCTTCTCCTCCGACAAGTCATGAGGCCTGGAGTTCTCTGGTTTCTCAAGAACCTGAACGATCCTGACTTCCACCCGGTCAGTACATCTGAAACTGTTGATTTTCTGATTAAATTTGCACATACAAACCGCGATATTTTTTAGATTCAGAAGTAACGAATATATATTTTTCAAGTTAACTGACTTCTCCCCAGATACAAGAGATGATAACATACAGTGTTATGAAGCACGTACGCCGGTTCGCTATCAGCTGCGTGGTATTCGGAGTGAGCATCCTGCTTATCGTGTGGGCCCCGCTGACTTGTATAGGTTTCCTGTTACCCGGGGTTATACCCTACAGTGTGGAAATGAGCACTGAGAGCATCCTGGGAGAGATTAGTCTCGAACTTCTACTCTTACAAGTAATGTGTATTTTACGTGGCACTTCTTTTCGAGCAATATTTCAATATTTTCTCTGCGATCGAAAAACTACATTATGTCATGGTTATTAGAAATGGCTTGGTTCCACCACAACCCCCGCCCCCCTATTTGAAATGATGATTAACGAAGTGCACTGTTGCAGGTGGTGTTACCCCAGCTACTCGAACAGAGCAACTCCCGACAATGGTTCAAGAACTCCCTGCGAGTCTGGGCTATCGGGGTTGCCAGGTTACTGGGTATCAGATCTTACCTTCTTGGAGATGTGCCAAATCAGGGAGAGGAGAGCAGCGATGGCAAACTTGTTAACATTGGTAAATATCTCTTTAACTCCGTCTTATTCTTGGACAGTCCTGTGATTAAGGTTTCGTTTAATAAGCAAACTGTATTGATCTAGATGATTTGTAATTGATATGGTTCACCTGGTTTACTATGATTTCAGGGGTACCAGGATACAGTAACAATATTGAAGGGTTAGGTATGGGAGCAGCTCAAACGGGCCCCAACGCTGAACTCTTCGTGCCCTTCCAGCCCTACTACCGACCCAATCAGTTCAAACGGAGAGTGGCCACTTTAGTGGGGGTCACGTGTATCAGCATGTTCCTTCTCTTCGTCTTTATATTCTCCGTACCTGTTTCACTTGGTTAGTTTCACTTTCTTAGTCTTTATATTCTCCGTACCTGTTTCACTTGGTTAGTTTCACTTTCTTAGTATTTATATTCTCCGTACCTGTTTCACTTGGTTAGTTTCACTTGGTTAGTTTCACTTGGTTAGTTTCACTTTCTTAGTATTTATATTCTCCGTACCTGTTTCACTTGGTTAGTTTCACTTTCTTAGTCTTTATATTCTCCGTACCTGTTTCACTTGGTTAGTTTCACTTTCTTAGTAGTTTCACTTGGTTAGTTTCACTTGGTTAGTTTCACTTTCCTCGTCTTTATATTCTCCGTACCTGTTTCACTTGGTTAGTTTCACTTTCTTAGTCTTTATATTCTCCGTACCTGTTTCACTTGGTTAGTTTCACTTTCTTAGTATTTATATTCTCCGTACCTGTTTCACTTGGTTAGTTTCACTTTCTTAGTCTCTATATTCTCCGTACCTGTTTCACTTGGTTAGTTTCACTTTCTTAGTATTTATATTCTCCGTACCTGTTTCACTTGGTTAGTTTCACTTGGTTAGTTTCACTTGGTTAGTTTCACTTTCTTAGTATTTATATTCTCCGTACCTGTTTCACTTGGTTAGTTTCACTTGGGTAGTTTCACTTGGTTAGTTTCACTTTCTTAGTATTTATATTCTCCGTACCTGTTTCACTTGGTTAGTTTCACTTTCTTAGTCTTTATATTTTCCGTACCTGTTTCACTTGGTTAGTTTCACTTTCTTAGTATTTCAATGAAGTCACCATTCACCAACAATCAACATTTTTTGTGACATTTTTCCTCACATCACTCAGTCACCCGCTCTGACGCGGTTAACTACTTTCCTTGTGTCGATTAATCAAGTGAGCGCGATGTAAATACCTCATTTCAATTAGTCGTTTAATTCGAATTTGATAACATATTTCACTTTCAGGACGGTGGATACTGCAACTATTCATGCCGTCCGGACAGCTTCACGAACTTTACACCTTCGCATGTGGACTCTACACGCTGTGGGCAGCTACTAGGCTCTCTACCCTGCTGTACAACTGGGCTGTCCAGGGCCTTTCTCTCTTCTTCCAAAAGGTTGGGGTCTAATTTTGTGTGTTATGAAACTCTTAAAATTGTCTCCTTTCCTTTTCCTTTATATTTTGAACGTTATCTTTTTGAAGGATCGTACTACATTTCTGTTTATTTCAGATGAAGGAGTGGTCGCTGATAATGATAAAGTGTATCTACTTTGCACTGACAGTGTTCGGTCTGATCCCGGTCTTGTTTGGTTTGTTGTATGAGATGATTTTACTCCTCCCCATCAGAGTTCCCCTTCACCACACACCTGTACATCTCTTGTGGCAAGTCAGTACACTCTTTTGTTTATAATTTACCAAATATTTGGATTCTCGTAAATCACTTATATTACATATTATATCAGTATCATTATATATTATTGACTTTATCCTATTCACAAGTTACCGTCAATTGAGGTCACCAGTATACGAGGTCACTACTCATTAGAATAGTTATTGTAAAATTACAATTTCCATTCTTGCAGGACTGGGGTTTAGGGGTATTGTTTGTGAAGATACTTTATGCTGGAACTCTTACTGGACCAGACTGGCACTTTAAACGTGTTCTTGAGCAGGTGATTCACTTTCACTTTCATCTTAAATATTTTTAATGTTCTTGTCAGCTAAAAGATGTGTTTCATTTCTTTGTAACTTCTATTTTACCAATGTTTACACTTCTATTTTACCAGGTGTTTCAAGCGGGAGTAATGCAGATGGACGTATGGTTTGTGACCACTAAGTTGGTGCTTCCTGTTGTTGTCACCCAACTTCATCTTCTTTGTATTCCTTACACTCTCTGCTCCTCTCTCCCTTTCCTCGGTTTCTCAGACGACTTCTCCCACGTTTGTCACAGACGAATTTACCCTGGAACTGTAGTCGTACTTCTCGGAGTTATCCTTCTAAAACTGCAACTAAAACAGTTTAAACGTCTTTACATCAAAATCAAAAACGAAAAGTAAGTACTTATGTCTGATACGTCGAACTAAATAAAAAAGGATGAAATTATAGTACAGGATTGTAACTGTATACTAGCAATTTTATTCAGAAAATAACCAGGCAACACCTTCCACAGATACCTTATCGGAACGCGCCTGGTAAATTTTGACGCGGAAGCAGTGAGAAGTGCGTTCACTCAAACTGAAACATGAACAGCGTCATAATGGCAGCGCGTGGCAGTTACCATGGCGACGCAACATCAGATAGTATGTATCCCCCACCACCTGTATAGAGGAAATACCAACGGAACAAAGTGTGAACAGAAGAAGAGTTTGTGTTGAGATTGATCATTAATATTAATACGTTGACAAGGGTTAATTTATGTGTGAAAATAATAATTGTTTTTCAACAAAAATGTAACTTCTTATATTTTTCTCCGCTCTGCATTTCTTAAGAGCGACCTGTGAATAATGTTCGTAATATCTTGCCATCACAAGGCTTACCATGTGATAAAAATAATGATGCCTTGTCAGAAATTGGCTTTTGAGCTGGCTTGATTTTTATGGCTCTTTTCACCCTATCGTGATTTTTTGTGATTAACTTATTTGTTTTTTGTTGATATAAGCTTGATTAACCTTATTGGGCTACGCTGCCTCGAATTATTAATCGTTTTGAAGAGTTTGACCTTAATTAATTTTTGTCAATGTATTTCTCTAAAGGAGACGCTCAATCATGACTGAACTTTAACAAATAAATAATTGTCGTTTTTATTCTCTCAATGAAGTAAGGGTCGTTCACATACTCAACATTACGTAATCAGCCGAGGGGGAGGGGGTTTCCAAATGATAACGCTAGCGTAATTTTGACACAATAGCTATAATGTGTAAAACTGATTACGGAGGTGGGTTACAAATTGTTCAAAAAGCGATTACGCAATATGTGAACGACCCCTAAGGATGGCATGAGACGCCTTTAAATGAAAATAGCAAATCCCGGAGGAGGTTTCGCAAAATAGAAAATAGCCAAAATGTACTACTAGTAGAAACTCCACAGTTTGGACGGGATTCTTCTCCAGTTTATAATTTAACTATTTAAGTTTGGTTCCGGCCGGAAAAAGCGTTACAAAATGTATGAAAAATCATTTTTTCAATTTCTGGTACCTCTATTTTGTCTTATTCCCATAGTAAGCTAAATACTTGATAAGTGGAATTTTACACGTGTAATATTTATTGAGTGGAAAGGACATAATTGAAATTATTTAGAACCAACCCTCTAGCAGTAGCTAACCTCTGTGATCACGAATCCACCTTATTACCTGACTTACTCGATGATTTATTTATTAGTTTGTAGCACTAGCAGTACTATTACGAAATATATCATCGAATGAGTCAATAAGAGCACAAAACAACCTTTTCACATTCGCGAGCTTGTAAGTTGTAACACAAACAGGAACTTTGTTTCAATAAATTATTTGAAGATACAGTGTACTAAAAGTAGTACACTGTATCTTCAACTAATTTATTGAAACAAAGCTCCTATTTGTGGTACAGGCTCGCAATGTGAAAAGTTTTTTGTTCTTATCGTTAGTTTCTCTTTGTTAACTTCTGTAACAAAACCGATCTCTAAATTTCTACATGAATCCCGTAAGGGAAGATCACTGGAAGAGCTGAGTTAGCTTACTAGATTAGTAGTTTATTAATCTATGATCGATTTTGTTGATCATTACTGACTTCGATGGTAGGGATCATTGTGTTGTGTTTGACAGGGCTGCTATCGCTTTTGATAGGATCTTGCAGTAAATTTGGTCTATTTCACCGTGACAACAGATAAGCAATTACTCAATTAGTACGTATCTTCTGACTAGTACTGCACAACGTATTATGATGAAATTGGGCTAGAGACAGTTTTCTGCATACAGGACTCAATTAACGTTTTGTCGTTATTTAATGATGATGTGCTTACAACGGATCAAACCGACGAGCTGCAAGAAGATTGGTACCACCTCGTCAGGGACAGGATATAATCAACAAGGCGATCAACAGATTCCATTAAAGCATTAATAAGTTTCTCCCGAGGACCATATAACGAGACTGCAGGGTTCTGGACTGAGCTTCACCAGATCACATTCCATTTGGACCGCTGTAACTGGTGTCAATTAAATATTTGTTTAAAATTACTATTCAGGCATGTGTAGAGTGTATACTGACAAGTGGGACAAGCATGATAATTATCATTTTATGGGTTTTATTGGCTACATACACGGCCATGGCCACTTTGTGTAACTTTGTGTTTGGTAACTCATCTTACTTTCTAGTTTAAGTGATATGTTATTCATTATTGTGCTGCTGTTTTATTACAAAATAAAATGATTATTCATTGGAGATCGAATGTTAAAACATAAATTAATTCAACCATTTAAGTTCAAAATGGACAGTGCAATCGGATCGAGAGCTAAATTCCTATTACTTAATCGTCTGCATACATCATATTGATATTAAGGTGTATTTTCATAAGAAAAAGTACAATTAAGTGAAATTAAATCAGCAACAATTGAATTGGAAATTACAATAATTGCAACTATTGCTAACTAAAAGCCATAATTCAATTATACAATCATTATCAACTACATTCGCATATTCTAAATCATCTGTTGTGCTATTGTTACTGTTGTTAACTGTTTCAACTCGGTACAGCTTTAAATTTTCATGTTTATTAACGTCGATAACAGATAACGTATCGAATAAGTATTACGATAGCTTAACCTGATATCATATCTACATAAAACAGAGTAGCCAAGCCGAATTTGACATGATGATAAAAGCATCGTAAGAAATCTGCTATTTTCGTTCGTTTCCACAGTCCGTTTCACTATTGTATGAAGCACATCAAAGCTCTGGGAAAGTGTAAGGTTGGTATCCTGTAGTCCTTTAGATTTGTTTGGTATCCTGTAGTTCTGTATGTTGAACGTGCCCATGTTACTCCTTACAGTTACTCCTTACAGTTATTCCTTACAGTCGACAGTCTTTAAATTTCCACGTGAGGATTCTATTCACAAAACTTCGTGGGTCTAACAGGAAGTTTTGTGAAGGTATTCCCAGCTCATTTGTGCACCGATTTTAACTTCACTGAGCTGCTTTTCCTTGCTTTGTTAGCCACATCCACCAGTTGACTGAAAATCGAATAGAAGTTATTTTAGAATACCAGTTGCAGTGGCGTAACGTTGCCTGTTGGCGCCCCCCTGCCGAAAAAAGCGGCCCCCTGTTGGCGCTCCCTCCCCTTTTGGTTCCCCTCCCTAAAATTGAACAAATTAGGTGATTTTAAAGAATACGCCGGTAAAATCTCTAAAAAAGTGTGTATCTAGAGCAAAACGCGCAGTTTTGCTAGTACTTTAGTTAAGTTTTCGAAATTGTCCCACATTCAAACGACGATTTGGCGCCCCCCTAAGACGGCGCCCCCCTGCACAGCGGGGTCAGCAGGGCCTTTCGTTACGCCACTGACCAGTTGTGTCAAAGGTACATGAAATCAGATGGTACTCTTATTAAAATAGGAAACCAAACGTACTGGACTACATGATGTCTGGTGACTTGATGAGTGACAGACATATTGACATAATCTGAACCATAACAATGCAAATGGAGAACAGGTGAAACTCAAGGTGAAAGTGAAATGTCAAAAGTGGAATAAATATTGAAGGAGAAAGATAAATTGAGGGTGTAAACTGTAAGTGGGGGAACTCAAGAACTGGGATTCCGGTTAAAGTGGAACTGGAGCAGGAAATGTTGAGATTGTGAAATGCGACGGACAAACAGTTACATTGTGACAAGCCAGCTCACAGGGCCAGGGATCCATGAAGTTATGTAACTGAACACTTTTGACAAGCCATGACAAGTTATGACAATTTGAGACAAGTTATGACAAGTTATGGCAAGTTATGATAAGTTAGGAACGTACGGTCCGGGCATGGAGGCTCGACGAGTAGTGGCTGATTGTGAGCCAGTATTAGAAGTTCGTCGGGAGGAAAGTGACATGACTGCATGAGACATCTTCCTCCGTGCTCGACCAGTCGGGCCGCTGTCTGAAAATTAGTCGAGGTAGTCCACAACATTGTTATACGGCACACAGAGCTTAGACAATTTGTGATTTGGCAATTGGTTACGTTATACGATGACGTGTCCATGGAGTCCAGACACTCTTTTTCAAATGACATTTTGAAAGCTTACGGTTATCACTTGTATCTGAGAGGGAAGTGAGCGAGCTCTTCCTGGGTTTCCTATTGATATCAAGTGATCCGATCTCGGGCAAACTTGTTCTTCCTTTCACATGATGATCATGTCTTTCTTCCTGGATATGGTAATTATAATCGAGTGGCTTTATGTGTATCCAAGTATCCACCAGGTGCAACTAGTCGAGGGATGGAATGTATACATGTTGTGCGGGAGCCGAGATAATCAGAGATCAATTAAATTACAAGCGAAAATAAAAAACATAGTGTAAGCTTGCCAAGGACTAAGGAGGAAGAACAGGCCAAAAAGAAAAGAACTTGAGACAATATTTTGTCACGATTTTCAGTGGTCTTTGGTAACAGAAAAGATTAGAAGATTCACGATTGGACACGATATTAATTTTAAGAAGTAGAATGTGTGACACAAACTTACTCTGACGATAAACATGTTCTGTTCTTCATCTCGTTTCCGATCATCTGGGTCTGGCTCCTGAATATTTGCACATGTTATATTTTTCATCCGACCGACAACACGCGGGACGCGCGCAACTTAATGTCAAAGAAGCTGCACAAACAATGCAATTAGTCACAAAATTGTTTTCGCGTGTTCCAGTAACGCTTATTTAATGCCCCATTCTGTGCGGACGACAAATATTCTTGCCCTAAGCTACGCAGACGGAGGGTCTAATCGAATGAAAGAATTAGCCAAAGGGAGTGCTACCTAAAATCAACTCGAATGTTACATAAATTTGAATTTTGTTAAAATATGATTTGATGAAATCTAATATTCAAACAGTCAGTCCCCATGCAATTGACACTTGAGATTTTGATCATACTCACTGATTTTGAGATATCAACTTACCGAATCTAGCTTTACGTCGCCTTGATCCAACTCAATAACTGCCTGCAAAGATAAGAATTATGAAAATATCCACTTTCAAAAGAAAGCCCAACAAGGTGAACAGAAAACCAAAGTGAACGCCAACAATAATTCAGATATTTTCGCACGTCTAGATCAGGATGTCGGACAGTCACTCCTTATATGGGCATCACGTGCCACACTCCCCCTCACTCACAATTTATCCCAGGACACTTCAATAACCGACTCAGACGGTAGAAATAATTTCTAGATGTTGGCAGGGAATTAAGTACAGTCGGTATTGAAGTTATGGGATTCACAAAGGAAGAGAAGAATATATTGAACATGACAAACCCTCTGAATGTGCGATAAAACATCCTTATTCCGTTCACTCATCAAACTCCGCCTGGAACTGGCCTCCAACTGCTGCAACAAGGGTCGATCTGACGGCATCTTTAGCTGTGACTTTAGGTGGGGTAACAGGGTGCTGCTTTTAATCCGTACTATTGGTGTTGGGTCCTGGAACATAGAGTTAGAGTTAGAGACGTCATGTAAGGTAAGTTTCATAGGGTAGGTTTTACTGCTATTGTTAGCTAAAGATAGCGAGGAACTGAATCGAGTGTAAATAACTAATTACCTTTATGTTATATTCTGACTCAGCTAGTAACTAGTTGTCTATTGTCTATTGTTTATTGTTGTCTAGTTGTATGTTGCCCATCACAAATGACACAACAAACGGATGAAAGGAAATACTAACTTTAATTGCATTCGTTTACAAGGTTCCTAGTGATTGCACTGGTTGCAACAATCTGAGGTGCAGTATTACTCACGTTTATGAGGAGAAGAGCAGGGGTGAAACAGTACTCCTTGAAGAATTTCTTAGAAAACTTGTCCAGTACTAGGTAGCAGAGCTCAACAAACATGAGACGCTGGTTGAACTTCTTACCACGTGATAAACCTGAGGAGGAGGAGGAGGGGGAGATAAACCTGATGGTTAACCCAGTTTTAATCAGCAAATTAAACTCCCTGTTTACATACCCCAGCTACAAGTACTCGGGTATGTGTTTACATACCCCAGCTACAAGGCACTCCCTGTTTACATACCCCAGCTACAAGGCACTCCCTGTTTACATACCCCAGCTACAAGGCACTCCCTGTTTACATATCCCAGCTACAAGGCACGTACGTACTCCCTGTTTACATACCCCAGCTACAAGGCACGTACGTACTCGGGTATGTGTTTAGTTTAACACAGGATTAACACACCGAACCTGTGTTACGTGATCCTTACTATGTACACATAAATACGGTACGTGGTAGCACTATGTACTGCACAGTGCACATACATACGGTACGTGGTAGCACTATGTACTGCACAGTGCACATACATACGGTACGCGATAGCACTATGTACTGCACAGTGCACATACATACGGTACGTGATAGCACTATGTACTGCACAGTGCACATACATACGGTACGTGATAGCACTATGTACTGCACAGTGCACATACATACGGTACGTGGTAGCACTATGTACTGCACAGTGCACATACATACGGTACGTGGTAGCACTATGTACTGCACAGTGCACATACATACGGTACGTGGTAGCACCTGTTTCACCTATAATTTTCACTTCACCTACCTAGGTAACTGTCTTTACTATCCGTCACATACTACATATAAGGCTTACTTTGCATTGTAGTGAGTTTTACGACCAAAGAACATTCCCATATTATCATCCGTTTGATAAACTAGCTAAAAAGTGAAAATTACAATTCGCGTCTCCATATCTACACTTCTGTAGCTATTACTATATTATACAAACGTATGCTCACTCAAATTGCCTTAAAACGGGTTGAGAGTAGAATTGAGAACTACACCATGCCATGGCAGAGTGCTTACAAGAGAGGTAGGAGCTGCTCTGACATTGTGTGGGCTCAGAGAATGCTCATATCTGTTGTGATGAGGAAGAAATGGACATTTAGCAAATTGGGTATTGATATGAGTAGAGCTTTTGATACCGTGAAAAGGGATACTATCATCAATGTTTTGAAAGATGCTGGTTGTTCGGAGGACGACATTCGCTTAGTTCAATACCTTCTATCGAATACTCTCCTTAGAGTTCGTGTTAACTCCTCACTGTCGGAAGAGTTTGAAAGTTTACTCGGAGCCTTTCAAGGTGACAGTTTATCTGGAAAGCTATTCACACTTATTCTTGCAGCAGCCTTACACCACCTCAGAGCTGTATCTGGGAGACCAAACCCACCAGTATCAGAACTAGGTTTTCCAACTGAGTGGGAATATTCAGACGATTGTGACTTTGCTGACGAGGACATCGAGAAACTGAGAATTTTCCTTCCTGCAGTGAAGGAGATTCTCAAAGACTGGAACCTCCAAGTAAATGAAAGTAAAACTGAATTCAGTACCTTCTACCTGGCGAAAAAATCTGACAAAGACACAAACGGTCAGCCATTAGCCAATAATGAACCATGGCGAAGTAATAAGTCACTAGGTTCCTTACTGTGTACTGAAAAGGACATTCAAAGAAGGAGGATCCTAGCTGAAATTGCTTTTAAGAACTTCGAAAAAGTACGGTTGTCCGGTAAGAAAATTTCCCTTGAAAGAAAGCTGAGATTATATGACGCTCAAGTTGTATCTGTATTAATTTACAACTCAAATAGTTGGAGTCCTAAAAAAGTAACTATGGAGAAAATGGACACACTTCATCGTAGACACCTAAACATCAAATGGCCTAAAGGTATGATAAGCAACAAAGCATTGTATGAAAGGTGCAAAGTTAAAAAGTTATCTAAGCGTATCGAACACCAGCGGTGGAAGATGTTTGGACACATTCTCAGGAGTATGGAGAACACCCCGGCCCCAGCCCAAACGGCTCTCTCTTTTGCTATTGAATCAGATAATTTATTCATTGGAAGATTGGGGAGACCTAGAATGAACTTGTTATCGGTTTTAAGAAATGATTTAAGTAGTAGAAATTTGCAAATGGACAACTCTCATGAATTGAACGAAATTAGAGATATAGCTGCATGCAACAGATGTTGGGAAAATCTTTTTCAAGGGTACAGTTTACCGCATTAAGGTATTTTTAAGAATCATTTTTGTCGGTAAGATCCTGTTTTATAATAATAATAATACAAACGTGTTCAGATGTACTTGATCTCCACCGCGGAATTTGTAAAACCATCAATCATCGAATCGACCATGAGTGATCATGCAGAACGTTAATGGTGTGCTTGCTGGACAGTGGAATTCATAAAATGTAGTATAATGGAAGATGCGATGCAGCGTTACGTATACATGCTATCAACATTAAGAAGGAGGGATATTAAGGGCTGGGCTCTTCTAATTTGATGATAATATCTTAAAATGCTCACCACCACACGCGCATCATCCATTAGCTCTTGAAAATTAGAATGTAATAACAGTTAAGTTCTTAGGGACCGATCATTATTGAAGTTTCTAGATATCTTTACTCTAGTTTACTCTGTTTAGGTATCAGACAATATCTCACCTTAAAGGTGCGACAAAATGCGACTTTAGCTTTAGTAACACAGATATCTTGTTGTTTGTCAAAGTGATTCAGTCGCAAGTACTTGCAGTTTACAAACTCAGAACAGTGTAAAAGTTAAGTGTGCATGCCGTAAAAGTATTATGCTCTTGTTTATATCTTCACTTATATACTTGAGCTAACTTGTAACGATATTACGCATGTAAATTTACAATAGAAAATAAACTTACACGTGACACTCCCACATACCTGACTGTGGTTCGTATACCACTGAATTGTTCCGTGGGAAGTTGATCCAGGTAAAAAATGAACTAAAGCTGTATTTCTGGCTCATTGCCAACTAATAGAGCTCATTACCGCCTAATCAATCAGCTGATAATGTTTAAAAGCACGTTTCTAGTAGTAACAGACTATACGCTATATGCAATGTATCCCGACATATGCCTGTTATAATTAAGGGCGGTCTGACGAGACCAGTTACTTATTGAAGAGACCAGTTACTTAAGTATTTAAAATATGTGCAGATAATGAAGATAGAATAGGATGACGATGGTGTGCTTAACAATACTGCACAATACACAATGCTAGTTGGACGTCAATAACGTGCTGCCTTCCCATCTTACCAATACATGGTAACGTGCTGCCTTCCCATCTTACCAATACATGGTAACGTGCTGCCTTCCCATCTTACCAATACATGGTTAATAACGTGCTGCCTTCCCATCTTACCAATACATGGTTGAGGATCTTTCATGCTATTAACATAATATTACGCTCGTGTTGTTCCCAGGGGAGAGGGGACTAGAATGATCTAGAATGGCTGAGAAGGCTGAGATCTAAAGGTTATGTGTGATTGTGAACGATTCCTGACTCTTTATACTTTTGAGATCTTTTATTTTAAAAGCATTCGGAGGGTATAAAAATTGCATGTAATTCAGAGTTCACATGACCAATGATGCGTTTAGGTTACAGTACCCAGGTTTTATCCCAAGGTTCAAGCTGTTACTGTTAAAGTGTTAATCTGTTAATAAGCCCGTAATATTCTTACCATATTATACTGAATATTCCAGATTCCAAGAATTCCTCTTTGACTACATTCAATAGACTGTCGATGGGAAACAGACTGACACAACACCGAAAACAGACCAAAAGGTTACTTATCAGCATTTACCAGGAATATGAATAATAATGGTAATATTATCGAATAATTTAACCACGAAACTGTACCACCATGTGCCATGAGAATTATCATTGTTATTATTGGTAACTATGGTTCCCCAACAGGCACAAAATCTTGGCTGGGGCCCTAGTTTCAATCAGAATAATTTAAAACATGGTTACATGTGCTAACCGTAGGGTTGGATTACAGAAATTACAAATTTCGAATGTTTGGCGGCCAATAATGGGAAGTCCGTGTAAACAGCCGCCGAACAGGTCCGATATTAAACGTTTTGGGGTTTAGATAGCCCATTTTGGATATACAATGGGTAATTTGAGATGTGTTAAACTCCTTATCAGAGTATGAATGGAAACGAGTCAATAATTAAAATCTCTCAAGAAAAGATCTAGAAGTTTTACGAAATATGCAAACTAAACGGTTAACGATCACCAAATCGTTGAACTTGGGAAGATTGAAATACCTTTGACGATCTGCACGGCGAGCTCGTGCCGCTGCTGCGCGTACTTGCACGTGTGTAGAAACTTAACTAGGGTCTTGAGCACCGCCCTTTTGACTGGCAGCATCGCCTGTAAGAGTGCGAGCTGTGAGAATACAGCACAATAAAAGTGAAATAAAGCAAAAGTTCTGCGATTATACACGCCTTTTATTATGTACGGTAATTTCATATAATGAGTCATTCCTTATTCGGTATTTTAATTTAAATCAGCTGATAAACCGTTTACTGGTGGTTACCTGGAGTGAGCATTTTAATTTCAAAGATTTGAAGTAGCGTGCAGTTGCAATTGTTTAAGTTACTTATTGATTTTACAAGCGTGCATATTATCTAAGTTTAATATTACATGTTTCCTTAAGCACCTATTATTATTACTGACTTGCCTTCATAGAGTTAGGCGTTGACCTTGACGTGTATGTAAAAAACCTAGGCATGCAATCTATAAGTTTTATAAGCATCTAAATAGAATCAAACTCGTGTGAGTGATATATTTGTTAAAAAATTAAAACTTGATATTAAGTTATTCTACAAACTCGTATCACATTTTATAGCTGAGTAAAAGTTGGCTGTACTACCTTCATACTCGCTACCCACCACACGCTGCACACCAAAACGCTGCGTGTGGGAAGGCTTGCTTTACATTCCAGGTTTACTAGTTTGAGCACGTGACACTAGTTTGAGCACGTGACACGGTCAAAACAAGCCTTCCTATGCAGGTTAACTGGTGAGGTTTTAAGGCGGGAAATAATACTGTACAAAGCCATTTCAATTTTGTAATGAAATGAAATATGTTTACAAGTATATTTTGCATTTGTGCCAAGCAAGCTAGATAGAGTTGTTATGAGATTCTCACAACTCAATATCCGGTCGATAAATAACACGAACGGTCAATAAAAAGTAAACAAAAGGCAACATAGCCGTTGTTAGACTTACGTTAGTAGAAATAAGTTTGACTAGCCGAGGAGCGAACTTCTGGTGAATCTGCTCAGGAGTAAGAATAGTAGTGAACTCTGACCAGGCCTCAATTAGGGAGGTGTATGCGCGCCATTCCCGCGTTTTGCTGATTTGGTCTTCCTGGGTCTGGAGTGCAGGGATCAGGTCCGGTAATCCTATCGTGGGTGACTGTCCCTGGAGGGTTAAAGATATCAGGGTCAGGAGATATTATCATCAGTTTATCGGATATCATCAGGAGATATTATCATTAGTTTATCAGACATCCGTATTCCGTTGAATAAGAGATGTGAGATCTGAATGATGTTGTCAAATTACTAAGCTGATAGTCAATTTGTCTCAAGTCTAAAATTAATTAGAACGTAATTTATGTGGTGCTGTATGTACACTAAATACAATACAATTTTATTACAGTGCGGGCCGATGTTAAAAAACTATGATTATGTGGTTAATTATTTACTGTTAAAACTTATAACTTATCGTTTCATGTGTCGTTTAATAATCGAACGATTATATAATAATTTGTGTTTGTCTCGAAATAATTGAGCTACAGTTAAAGCCGGGATCATGTCAGGCTGAGTTGTGTGGCCAGCGGGGGCAGGGCCAGGGGGGGCAGGGGACCTGTAAATAAACCCGATATCAACCTATTTATAGGGTTATAAACGATGTTTTGGTTGCGTTACTAACAACAACCTTACCTCTTTACCTTGTCATGAGCAATCTAATCGAATCCTCCATGTGTATTATAATGCCGCGTCCAAATCTTACATACATCCGATATTAAGATTTATGTTGGGGACAACTGGTTGCAGCTTTAACATCTAGCATTGCCTTTGTGTGCAGCAAATATCCCAGTTTCTACATTTAAAAGGAGGTTGCTGTATCGAAAGTAAGAAGTGGCTGGTGGTCGTAGCAAATCTATCAAACTAAGTGCTGATAGTTCGAAATTATGGGATCATTTTCTTTCATTTTGTTCTTAGGGATCGTTCGCATATTAAGTTATCCAGCCTAGGACGAGATGGGTTTTTGATAAATCTTACGCTAATTTCTACACAATAGCTATATTGTTAAGTAGCTATGGAGGGGGTAGCCTGAAATGATAAAAATATAACGTTCATTTAGCAAAATAGACTTTGAACTGACCACACTCGCTAACCTTTAGGGGAGGGGAAACAAAAGATCTGAGAGCTGAAGCCAGATTAGGTATTAAAGCTATGAGAACTTCTGTATTGGAATCTTCTAAGAGGGTTTGGTATGTTGGGAGTAGGAGCCGGCTGTCGTTACCCAGTATCTTTGATATCTGAAACGATAAATTTATGTTACAAATTTCATGATAACTCTTCTCGTTGCCTTATCTTATTTTGGGGGAGGTCCAGATGGCGAATAAATCAAGAATTTAGAGTGTTAAGGTAGACAGTCGTGGTCATAACTGAACCATCAGCACCCTTTTGGGATTCCTTAGAATTTATATCGGAGCTAATAAGCCCATCACTCAATCACTGACGCAGCATTGCATCCTTATTCCTTATAACTAAAGAATCATTATAATGTAACTGAAGAAGCTGATACTTGCATGAAGATGCAATTTTTCTAATGAATTTGTTAATGGAGTCCTAAATCCTGATAGCTCCACTTGATCCAACTTATTAATCATTATAAACCTTCTCTTATCTCCGATATGATAATATGAACTTTAGTCAAGGATCCGCAAGCTAATCATGTCGCTCTCACGTTTGCTGTGAACAATATCGTTCACATTTTGGTGACTGCAACACGTCGACATAACACAATGTCACGGCTCATTCACCCATTCACATTCCTGCCAACACCCCCACGTGACCCCTGGATAACCAATCAGAAGACAGCAGCGTTACAGCGACCATTAGGAACCAGGAGACAAGATAATACCCCCAGGGAGTGAGAGACACAAGTGGTCGTGTGGAGCCGGCACTTTATCCTCTGTGTCACGTGACCTCTCCCCCTCTCTCTAGATCTCATCTCTCCGGCATATCCCACCACTATCTAACTAATAGACGAGACCAGGAGATTACACGAGTATCTGTTGGTTAAATCAATCACAGTGATTTGAACTGACATGCAGCACCGTTGGGTGGGGGGTCTACTACGAGCTCGTTCGATAAGAGAGAACTCACTTATAACAGTTGACAGCTGGTCTCTGATTGGTTAACTGTGGGCACGTGGGTGGTCTCCGTGGATCTGATTGGAGTGGGAGAGTGAAGTGGAGTGGAATGATTTGTAATTATCAAAATGCGTTATAACACGGCTGTTATGATTGTTAAGCGTCCTCGTACAAGGGAAACACAAATATCTGCTACTACAGTGCACTGCGCGTCTGCTCAGGTATATACTGATGGAGAAGTGTGTGTCGTATAATCTATTTTACACATACAAAAGACGAATGTGATTGTGTATTTCGATGGTAGGTTCCAACCATTGCCATATAACGATTGAATTTGTTCTGGTATCATAATTTATTTTGAGCAATAACCACAGTGTTATTTGTTGATAATCCTACCGATACACAAAATGAAGCGGGTCACCGAGCTTGCAGAATATGGAACGGTGTAGGTTTGGTCCCCACAGCATAGCCATAGCAAATGAATTTATTCTGTGATGCACATACCTTTTTTTTTTAAACAACGTAAAGCTGTGGTATTCGAATGAGAAAATATTCACCATTCTCCCCCAGCAACTGCAACAATAAAAGGTAACCTCGTCAAATATTCACCATTCTCCCCCAGCAACTGCAACAATAAAAGGTAACCTCGTCAAATATTCACCATTCTCCCCCAGCAACTGCAACAATAAAAGGTAACCTCGTCAAATATTCACCATTCTCCCCCAGCAACTGCAACAATAAAAGGTAACCTCGTCAAATATTCACCATTCTCCCCCAGCAACTGCAACAATAAAAGGTAACCTCGTCAAATATTCACCATTCTCCCCCAGCAACTGCAACAATAAAAGGTAACCTCGTCAAATATTCACCATTCTCCCCCAGCAACTGCAACAATAAAAGGTAACCTCGTCAAATATTCACCATTCTCCCCCAGCAACTGCAACAATAAAAGGTAACCTCGTCAAATATTCACCATTCTCCCCCAGCAACTGCAACAATAAAAGGTAACCTCGTCAATATTCACCATTCTCCCCCAGCAACTGCAACAATAAAAGGTAACCTCGTCAAATATTCACCATTCTCCCCCAGCAACTGCAACAATAAAAGGTAACCTCGTCAATATTCACCATTCTCCCCCAGCAACTGCAACAATAAAAGGTAACCTCGTCAAATATTCACCATTCTCCCCCAGCAACTGCAACAATAAAAGGTAACCTCGTCAATATTCACCATTCTCCCCCAGCAACTGCAACAATAAAAGGTAACCTCGTCAATATTCACCATTCTCCCCCAGCAACTGCAACAATAAAAGGTAACCTCGTCAATATTCACCATTCTCCCCCAGCAACTGCAACAATAAAAGGTAACCTCGTCAATATTCACCATTCTCCCCCAGCAACTGCAACAATAAAAGGTAACCTCGTCAATATTCACCATTCTCCCCCAGCAACTGCAACAATAAAAGGTAACCTCGTCAATATTCACCATTCTCCCCCAGCAACTGCAACAATAAAAGGTAACCTCGTCAATATTCACCATTCTCCCCCAGCAACTGCAACAATAAAAGGTAACCTCGTCAATATTCACCATTCTCCCCCAGCAACTGCAACAATAAAAGGTAACCTCGTCAATATTCACCATTCTCCCCCAGCAACTGCAACAATAAAAGGTAACCTCGTCAATATTCACCATTCTCCCCCAGCAACTGCAACAATAAAAGGTAACCTCGTCAATATTCACCATTCTCCCCCAGCAACTGCAACAATAAAAGGTAACCTCGTCAATATTCACCATTCTCCCCCAGCAACTGCAACAATAAAAGGTAACCTCGTCAATATTCACCATTCTCCCCCAGCAACTGCAACAATAAAAGGTAACCTCGTCAATATTCACCATTCTCCCCCAGCAACTGCAACAATAAAAGGTAACCTCGTCAATATTCACCATTCTCCCCCAGCAACTGCAACAATAAAAGGTAACCTCGTCAAATATTCACCATTCTCCCCCAGCAACTGCAACAATAAAAGGTAACCTCGTCAATATTCACCATTCTCCCCCAGCAACTGCAACAATAAAAGGTAACCTCGTCAATATTCACCATTCTCCCCCAGCAACTGCAACAATAAAAGGTAACCTCGTCAATATTCACCATTCTCCCCCAGCAACTGCAACAATAAAAGGTAACCTCGTCAATATTCACCATTCTCCCCCAGCAACTGCAACAATAAAAGGTAACCTCGTCAATATTCACCATTCTCCCCCAGCAACTGCAACAATAAAAGGTAACCTCGTCAATATTCACCATTCTCCCCCAGCAACTGCAACAATAAAAGGTAACCTCGTCAATATTCACCATTCTCCCCCAGCAACTGCAACAATAAAAGGTAACCTCGTCAATATTCACCATTCTCCCCCAGCAACTGCAACAATAAAAGGTAACCTCGTCAATATTCACCATTCTCCCCCAGCAACTGCAACAATAAAAGGTAACCTCGTCAATATTCACCATTCTCCCCCAGCAACTGCAACAATAAAAGGTAACCTCGTCAATATTCACCATTCTCCCCCAGCAACTGCAACAATAAAAGGTAACCTCGTCAATATTCACCATTCTCCCCCAGCAACTGCAACAATAAAAGGTAACCTCGTCAATATTCACCATTCTCCCCCAGCAACTGCAACAATAAAAGGTAACCTCGTCAATATTCACCATTCTCCCCCAGCAACTGCAACAATAAAAGGTAACCTCGTCAAATATTCACCATTCTCCCCCAGCAACTGCAACAATAAAAGGTAACCTCGTCAATATTCACCATTCTCCCCCAGCAACTGCAACAATAAAAGGTAACCTCGTCAAATATTCACCATTCTCCCCCAGCAACTGCAACAATAAAAGGTAACCTCGTCAATATTCACCATTCTCCCCCAGCAACTGCAACAATAAAAGGTAACCTCGTCAATATTCACCATTCTCCCCCAGCAACTGCAACCAAGGTTGTTAAATACGTCAAATTTTCGTGAAAGAATACGACGTATTCGGTTCCAATAAAGAATACGTCGTAATACGCCGGAATACGGTAATTTCTATGGATTGTTAAATACGTCTACGAATACGCCATAATACGCCGTAATACGCTGATTTGTCAAAATGAAACATTACAGCTGTGCGCCACCCTCATCATTGATCATGCATTAAAGGAGTGCAGTTATACATGATAACTTAAATTTGTAATCAAATTTCATGGATAATAAGCTAACATTTTTTGCGAAATTATCAATTACATATTAATATTTAATACATATTTAATGATTTCGTTTCCTAAAACGATAATGAAATTATCAAAGTTTAAGACCATTTTCTAAAGTTCAGTCCCCTCAACATATTTGAATTTTTGGAATAAAGAATACGTTGTAATACGTCAATTTTCGAGGATTAATACGTATTCGTATTCCAATACGTATTCCCTCCTAATACGTATTTAACAACCTTGACTGCAACAATAAAAGGTAACCTCGTCAATATTCACCATTCTCCCCCAGCAACTGCAACAATAAAAGGTAACCTCGTCAAATATTCACCATTCTCCCCCAGCAACTGCAACAATAAAAGGTAACCTCGTCAATATTCACCATTCTCCCCCAGCAACTGCAACAATAAAAGGTAACCTCGTCAATATTCACCATTCTCCCCCAGCAACTGCAACAATAAAAGGTAACCTCGTCAATATTCACCATTCTCCCCCAGCAACTGCAACAATAAAAGGTAACCTCGTCAATATTCACCATTCTCCCCCAGCAACTGCAACAATAAAAGGTAACCTCGTCAATATTCACCATTCTCCCCCAGCAACTGCAACAATAAAAGGTAACCTCGTCAAATATTCACCATTCTCCCCCAGCAACTGCAACAATAAAAGGTAACCTCGTCAATATTCACCATTCTCCCCCAGCAACTGCAACAATAAAAGGTAACCTCGTCAATATTCACCATTCTCCCCCAGCAACTGCAACAATAAAAGGTAACCTCGTCAATTCAACGTCAGAGATGTTTCTTCTTTTGTTATACGAAGTAACTGTCTCTCTATCTTTTGTCTTATGGAAACAGCCCAACCTTGTGGCGGTAATGTTTTTTGAGGGGAGAAGACACTATCCATCACATT